TGCAGTGGCTCATGCCTGTAATCCTAGCACTTTGGTAGGATGAGGCGGGTGGATCACTTGAAGTCAGTCTGCTAGGGATGCAGAGATGATTTAACATAGGTAAGTCAATACATGTTATCCACCAAATAAACAGAATTAAAACCAAAAATTATATGATTATCTCAAAATACACAGAAAAATCATTTGGCAAAATCCAGCATCCCTTTATGATTAAAATCCTCAGCAAAATTGGGATAGAGGGAACATATTGTAAGGTCATAAAAGCCATCTATGACAGGCCAGATGTGGTGGCTCACGCCTGTAATTCCAATACTTTGAGAGGCAGAGGTGGGCGGATCACCTGAGGTCAGGAGTTTGAGATCAGCCTGGTCAACATGGTGAAACCTCATCTGTACAAAAATACAAAAATTAGCCAGGAATGATGGCGGGTGCCTGTGGTCCCAGCTACTGGGGAGGCTGAGTCCCAGAGGTGGAAATTGCAGTGAGCGGAGATTGTGCCGTTGCACTCCAGCCTGGGCGACAGAACAAGACTCCGTATGGAAAAAAAAAAAAAAAAAAAAAAACTATCTATGATAAACAGCCAACATTACACTGAACGGGAAAAAGTTGGAAGGATTTTTTCTGAGAACACAAGACATAATGCCCACTCTCACCACTTCTATTCAACATAGTAATGGAAGTCTTAGCCAGAGCAATCAGAGTAAAGCAAAAAATAAACAGCATCTAAATTGGTAAAAAGGAAGTCAAACTGTCACTGCTTATCAATGATATAATTGTATAGCTGGGAAACCCTAAACACTCATCTAAAAAGCTTTTAGGGCTGGGTGCAGCGACTCAAGCCTGTAATCCCAGCAATTGGGGAGGTGGAGGCAGGTGGATCACCTGAGGTCAGGAGTCCAAGAGCAGCCTGGCCAACGTGGTAAAACCCCGTCTCTACCAATAATACAAAAATTAGCCAGGCGCGGTGGCAAGTGGGTGTAATCCCAGCTACTAGGGAGGCTGAGACAGGAGAATCACTTGAACCCAGGAGGCAGAGGTTGCAGTGAGCTGAGATCATGCTACTGCACTCCAGCCTGGGCGACAGAGTAAGACTTGTCTCAAAAAGAAAAAAAAAGAAAAGAAAAGAAAAGAAAAAAAAGCTTTTCGATCTGATACGTAAATTCAGTAAAATTTCAGGATACAAAATCAATGTGCACAGATTAGTGGCACTGGTGTACACTAACAGTGACCAAACTAGGACTTAAATTAAGAACTCAACTCATTTAAAAATAGCTGCAAAAAAAATAATAATTAGGAATATGTCTAACCAAGGTGGTGAAAGATCTCTACAAGAAAAATTACAAAATGTTGCTAAAAGAAATCACAGACAATGGAAACAAATGGAAACATATTTCATGCTTATGGATGGGTAGCAATCCTATTGCAACAATGATAAACCTACCAAAAGCAATCTGCAAATTCAATGTAATTTCCATCAAAATAGCATTATTATTCTTCACAGAACTAAAAAAAATCCTAAAATTTATATAAAATAAAAAGAGAGCCTCCATAGTTAAAGCAAGAAGGAAAAAAAAAAAACCCAACAAAACCAAAAACACACACACACAAAATCTGAAGGCATCACATTATCTGACTTCGAACTATACTACAAGGGTATAGTTACCAAAACAGCATTGTATGGGTATAAAAATAGACATTTAGACCAATGAAACAGAATAGCGAAACCAGAAATAAACCCAAATACTTACAGCCAACTGATCTTTGACAAAGTAAACAAAGATATAAAGTGGGGAAAGAACACCCTATTCAATAAATGGTGCTGGCATAATTGGGAAGCCACATATTGAAGAATAAAACTGGGTCTTCGGCTGGGCACAGAGGGTCATACCTGTTATCCCAGCCTTTAGGGAGGTTGAGGTGGGTGGATCACGAGGTCAGGAGTTCAAGACCAGCCTGGACAAGATGGTGAAACCCCGTCTCTACTAAAAATACAAAAAAAAATTTAGCTGGGTATGGTGGCGGGTGCCTGTAATCCCAGCTACTCGGGAGGCTGAGGCAGAGAATTGCTTGAACCTGGGGGGCAGAGCTGAGATCACGCAACTGCACTCCAGCCAGGGCGACAGAGCGAGACTCCATCTCAAAAAAAAAAAAAAAATGGAACTTCATCTCTCACCTTATAAAAAAATTAACTCAAGATGGATCAAATACTTTAATCTAAGACCTGAAACTACCTGAATTCTAAAGCATTGGAAAAACTCTTCTAGACATTGACTTGGGCAAAGAGTGCATGACCAAGAACCCCAAAGCAAATGCAACAAAAACAAAGACAGATGTGACTTAAACAATTCTCAAAAGAAAATATACAAATGGCCAACAACAACAAAAAATACTGAACATCACTGATGATTAATGATCAGGGAAATGCAAATCAAAACCACAATGTGATACCACCTTACTCTTGCAAGAATGACCATAATTGGCTGGTCATGGTGGCTGATGCCTGTAATCCCAGCACTTTGGGAGACCAAGACTGGTGGATCACCTGAGGTCAGGAGTTCCAGAGGAGCCTGGCCAACATGGTAAAACCCCGCCTCTACTAAAAACACAAAAATTGGCAGGGTGCGATGGCTTATGTCTGTAATCCCTGCTGCTCCGGAGGCTGAGGCTGGAGAATCGCTTGAACCCGGGAGGCGGAGGTTGCAGTGAGCCGAGATCGCACCACTGCACTCCAGTCTGGGCCAGAGAGCGAGACTCCATCTCAAAAACAAACAAACAAACATACAAACAGAAAAGACCATAATTAAAACATCAAAAAATGGACCAGGCACGGGTGGCTCATGCCTGTAATCACAGCAAACTCCCTCTCGGAAAAAAAAAAAAAAAAAAGAAGAAAAGAAAAGAAGGGATAAAACCCCAAATATTGTGTGTCCTCACTTATGAGTGGGAGCTAAGCTATGAAGATGCAAAGGCATAAAAGTTATATAATGGGGCCAGGCGCGGTGGCTCACGCTTGTAATCCCAGCACTCTGGGAGGCCGAGGCAGGCGATCACCTGAGGTCGGGAGTTCAAGACCAGCCTGACCAACATGGAGAAACCCTGTCTCTACTAAAAATACAAAATTAGCCGGGCATAGTGGCGCATGCTTGTAATCCCAGCTACTCGGGAAGACTGAGGCAGGAGACTCGCTAGAACCTGGGAGGCGGAGGTGGCGGTGAGCCGAGATCGCGCCATTGTACTCTAGCCTGGGCAACAAGAGCGAAACTCCGTCTCAAAAAAAAAAAAAAAAAAATTAAAAAATTAAAAATTAAAAAGAATTATATAATGGACTCTGGGCACACAGCGGGAAGGGTGGGAGAGGGAGTGAGGGATGAGAGACTACATGTTGGATACAGTGCACACTGCTTGGGCGATTGGTGCACCTAAATCTCAGAAATCACCACAAAAGAACTTATCCCTGTAACCAAATACTACCTGTACCCCAAAACTACTGAAATACAACAATTTAAGACAAAAATAAAACCCCCAAAACCCCATAAGTTGAAGTTTATATGCTTTGGCTTTTTTTTTTTTGAAATGGTCTCACTCTGTCACCCAGAATGGAGAGCAGTGGCTTGATCAGGGCTCACTGCAGCCACAACCTCCTGGGCTCAGGCAGTCCTCCTACTTCAGTCCCTGAATAACTGGTACTACAGGTTCAGGCCACCATGCTAAATTAGCTGGGTGTGGTGGTGGGCGCTTGTAATCCCAGCTACTTGGGAGGCTGAGGCAGAAGAATCGCTTGAACCCAGGAAGGGGGAGGTTGCAGTGAGCTGAGATCATGCCATTGCATTCTGGCCTGGCTGGCAGAGCAACATTTGTCTAAAAACAAAAAAAGATAAAAATAAAGGTTGTTTCAAGTTAAAAAAAAAGTCTAATAAAATAAAATGGAAAAAGTTAAAAAATTATAAGAGATTATAAGGCTGGGCACCATGGCTCATGCCTGTAATCCCAGCACTTTGGGAGGCTGAGGTGGGCGGATTGCCTGAGGTCAGGAGTTTGAGACCTGACCTCAACATGGTGAAACCCTGTCTCTACTAAAAAAACAAAAATTAGCCAGGCGTGGTGGCAAGCGCCTGTAATCCCAGCTTCTGGGGAGGCTGGGGCAGGAGAATTACTTGCACCCGGGAGGTGGAGCTCTCGGTGAGCTGAGATCGCGCCACTGCACTCCAGCCTGGGCGGCAGAGGGAGACTGTCACAAACAAACAAACAAACAAACAAAAAAGAGAGTATAAAATTTATGTGAAAATCTAGAGTGTTCAAAAATGACAAATTTGATGGATTTATTTATAAGATTTTACTAAAATTAGGTTTAGGTTTTTTTTGTTTTGTTTTTTTGAGATGGCGTTTCACTCTTGTTGCCCAGGCTGGAGTGCAATGGCCCAATCTCGGCTCACTACAACCTCCACCTCCTGGGTTCAAATGATTCTCCTGCCTCAGCCTCCTGAGTAGCTGGGATTACAGGCACCCATCACCACAGCTGACTAATTTTTGTATTTTTAGTGGAGAAGGGGTTTCGCCAGGTCACCAGGCTGGTCTTGAACTTCTGACCTCAGGTGATCCGCCCGCCTCCGCCACCCAAACTGACGCCATTAAAGGAGTAAGCCATCACGCCCGGCCTTCAGTATTGATAATACACTATTACTAAAGTAAAAAATGATTTACTGTTGAACAAAAGTTTTATGTATTATTAACATGGCAGTAAACTATATTTGTTCACATTTCGAATACATTTAAAAAGAGAGTAAAGAAGAGAAAGAATTTTCCCATGCTCTGGGGTGGGCCTGGCTCAGCTCAGGGAGGAAGCCCTGCCTGGAAAGGCTGCAGCCTTTTGTTATCAGAAGCATCTGATAACATCTTCTGTCACTCAGTGCTCGAAGGGGCGGGGCCTTAAACATCATCCAATCAGGGACTCTGGGCTGGGACCGTCCAATCAGGCATGCAGCTGGAGCGGACAGGGCGACTTCCGGGATGTGGTCGGACCTTTGGCTCTCGCCGCAGCCGGAGGTCAAGGTGTGGTGCTTGCTGCTGTGTGTCCTCTCCTCCTAGAGGCCCAGCTCCTGTGGTCCTGTGACCTGCAGGTATTGGGAGATCCACAGCTAAGTCGCCAGGACCCCCTGGAAGCCTAGAAATGGTGAGTGTGCCGGGTCCGACATCCGGAGAGAGTGGCCGGGGCTGGTTGGAACCAGCTGTGGCGGGACTCAGGCCTCCCCGCAGTCAGCTCCACAATCTATGCCCGGAGTTGTCCTTGCCTAGCTCCACCTCAGTCCGCTTCAGCCATAAGATGGCGGCTGCGCTGACACCCGGCCCCCGGGCGTCCTGTCTCTAACCTGCGCTATGACTGTGCCCTGGCCTGGAGACCTCTTGGGGCAGCTCTGCACCCGCAGCGCGGAGTCTCTCCCATATGTGCAGGGACCATGGGAGTGTCGTCAGAGGAGAATCCTGACTCCGCGTGTGGGTTCATGAATGGAAAGAGCTTTGGTCCCTGAGGTTCCCAGCTCCTGTTTCTTCCTATTAAAAATTTGCGGAAGTCAGCGCACAAATATTAAAGAATTTATCCAAAGAGTGATTCCAAAATTGTAGAGCACCCAGCTATGGGTTGTAGTTTATGGTCTATTGAAGGGATTTGACGGAAGAGTTTTATAAGGCGCATAATGAAGAAAACCAAATTCAGTAATTGGTTAGGTACAGTTAGGTAGTTTCTTAGTTTGTACTATCAAGATGGAAATTTCTTGATTATGTAGTCAGAGATTAATTGGCAGTTTATAGTTTCTTAAGCCTGAATTTTTTTCCCCAATATAGTAATTTACAAAAAGTGCATTTGAATTAGTTTGTTTTTTTGAGACAAAGTCTCACTCTGTCGCCTAGGCTGGAGCTCAGTGACACCGTCTGGGCTCACTGCAATCTCCGCCTACCAGGTTCAAGTGATTCTCCTGACTTAGCCTCCCAAGTAGCTGGGATTACAGGCATGCGCCACCACGCCCCCTTAACTTTTTTTTTTTTTTTTTTTTTTTGAGACGGAGTCTGGCTCTGTGGCCCAGGCTGGAGGGCGGTGGCGCGATCTCGGCTCACTGCAAGCTCCGCTTCCCGGATTCACTCCAGTCTCCGGACTCAGAGCCTCCCGAGTAGCTGGGACTACAGGCACCCGCCATCACGCCCGGCTAATTTTTCTATTTTTAGTAGAGATGGGGTTTCGCGGTGTTAGCCAGGATGGTCTCGATCTCCTGACCTCGTGTTTCACCCGCCTCGGCCTCCCAAAGTGCTGGGATTACAGGTGTAAGCCACCGCGCCTGGCCGGATTAGGTTTTTTAAAAGTAGAATTTAGGAACTAGAACCTCTTCAATCTAACTGCCAGCCACTTAATTATTTGCACACCCCACAAGGAACTGCTGTTTCATTGCATTTTTCACATGTGTCCCAAGCAGGGCCTCAAGTCTATCCCCCATCCCCTATTTCTCCAGCCTGACTCTGGCTTGCAGTAAAATACTTAATTTCCACTTCCTTCTGACATTCCCAAATGCCAATTTCCCCTCCCTTATTCATATTATCAACTATTTGTCCTTTAGTGTACATTTTGATACCTGTTTTAATCATTTTTTTGACAAAGCATTTGATGGCACATTTAAAAAAATTTGTTTTCTGTTTGTAAATATTTTTTCTTCTGTTTTCCCCAGACACAGATACCAGAATGTTTTTGGGTCAAGGTTTCCCTTTGGAAACTTTATAGGGAGATGTGTCCTCAGCTACCCTTCAATTTTTTCTTGGACCTGAGATTCAGTACTGTCTGGGGAAAAACCAGGATACCCGCCATGGCTATGTCTGCGAGAGTGTCTAGTGAATATCAGTTCCTGGGTCATTTTCTCCCCTAAGACAACCTGAGGTATGGAGTGGAGCCTCTCAAGAGAGCAGGTGAATGCCCTTTGACTGAGAGGCATCTTCTGGTGCGCTGTTTTTTTGGAAAGCTACCCCCTTGAGATACTAATATTGTCTTTACCCAACCCAGCTTCCATTTCTTGGAGACGCGTTGCTGTTCAGACAATCAGATGCTGGTAGTGAAGGGGAAACCAAAATAATTTTTGCCCCTGGATTCTCTTAGGGGACAGAAAAATAGTGATAGAAAAATGGTAAAAAGTTTGTGAAACAAAATAGCACTCCAAAGACAAAGAAAAAAAACTGATCCCAGTGAGATGGTGCAAGAACTTGCAAAGTGAAATATACCTGGGGCACTCACTGGGGCAGAGTTTGTTCAGAGTCTCCTGAGATAATGATTATTGAGCACTTAAGTGAACAGGATGGGGTGGGAGAATCTCTAAAGTAATTGGATGGCCTGACTTGACACACGAGTCAGACATATCTGTACCTTGAAATGATTAAGTGATTTCTTCACTTATTTTGACCAGGTTTTTGTGTGTGTGTGTGTTTTTTTTTTTTGACAGTGTTTTCCTCTGTCGCCCAGGCTGTAGTGCAGTGGTGCAATCTCTGCAGTGCTACTTTTTGTATTTTTAGTAGAGATGGGGGTTTGCCATGTTGGCCAGGCTGTTTGAGCTCAAAATTCTGACCTCAAGTAATCTGCCCACCTTGGCCTCCCAAAGTGCTGGGATTGCAGGTGTGAGCCACTGTGCCCGGCTGACCTCAGTTTTTTAACTGTAAATTGCATTTTATTAGTAGGGCTTGAAAGGTAAGAAAATATTTACAAAGGGCATAAAAAATGTGAGTTTCAGAAAATAATACGTAATTATATATTTGTTGAAAATTCTCATTCACCTTTTTCTCAGAGTGAATTTAGAAGTTTTCTCAGGTTTGTTTTGTTTTGTTTTGTTTTTTGTTGAGACAGAGTCTCACTCTGTCACCCAGGCTGGAGTGCAGTGGTGGGATCTCAGCTCACTGCAAACTCTGCCTCCCAGGTTCATGCCATTCTCCTGCTTCACTCTCCCGAGTTGCTGGGACTACATGTGCCCACCATCATGCCCAGCTAATTTTTTTGTATTTTTAGCAGAGACGGGGTTTCACCTTGTTAGCCAGGGTGCTCTCGATCTCCTGACCTCATGATCCGCCTGCCTTGGCCCCCCAAAGTGCTGGGATTACAGGTGTAAGCCACTGTGCCCAGCCTTCTGGTGTGTTCTTTATGGCTGAATGATTTCAAACAGAATTCCATCTAGCTTTTAGAATGTTAGCTACTGAGAAAAAAAAGAAGAAAAATTGTTCTTCCATTTCGGCTGTAGAGAATTAATATATTTCCACAAGCAAATGTGGTAGATAATTGGGGAGTTACATAGATTCGTGAAAACATCAGTTTCTTTTTTTGCAGGGTGAATTTGCTAAAGTAAATATCTTTGTTCTATATCCTGTTATTTCGATTTCTGAGTTTAATGCTAAATTTTATGTGATGAAACTTGGTACCCTAGAGTGTTCCTATACTGTTTAACTATTTTTTTTATTTATTTTATTTATTTTTTTTTTTTTTTTGAGACAGTCTCGCTTGTCGCCCAGGCTGGAGTGCAGTGGCGCGATCTCGGTCACTGCAAGCTCGCTCCGGGTTCACGCCCTCCGCTCAGCCCCGAGTAGCTGGATACAGGCCACAACCGCTCCGCTATTTTTGTATTTTTAGTAGAGCTTCACCGTGTCTAGATCTCTGACTTGTGATCGCCGCTCGGCCTCCAAAGTGCTGGATTACAGGGTGAGCCCCGCCCGCTACCACATGATTTTTAATACAAAAGTAAAATAATACTTTATTGTCCAAAAGAAATAAATACCTTTCTTTCTCTTACTGAGGTACAAAATACAAGCACCTTAAAATTTTCTTATATGTTTTTGCATCATTTTGCTGGATTTTTCAAACACTTAGTTTCAAAAACTAAGTGAATGACTCTGACATGGTAATTAAAGCTTGAGCCCAATGACTGCAAACTGAGGTTAATTTGAGCCAGCAAAAGGAGGTTATTATAGGCCCAGTTAGTTCCTTCTGGAAAGCCTTTCCTGCAGATGTCCCAGCCTGCTCTACCCCAGTGGTGGAAGAAGCCTCCATAGTGAGAGAAGCTACAGAGCCCTGCAAAGCTGGGGCCCCACAGGCAGATGCAGTTAAGGTTAAGATAGAAAGGGTTGGGAGTGTCTTACTGAAGATAAAATTGTTACTGTTTTGAGGCAGTTTTGAGAGGTTTTAAACCAGTTACATGTAAGTTAAAAAAAAAAAATTGAATTCCAAAGGAGTATTGGCAACAGGAGGAAGTACCAACTATAAGATCTTTAAGGATTGCAAAGATTAGGCAGAAAAGGGCTTTTTTTCCTAAGGATAAAAAATAAGTTTAGAAAAAAAGGTGAGGGAGTGTTTAAATGAAGGTTGAAATAATCAGGTTTTAGATCAGAGAATGTTTTACCCTGAAGTCAGTGTGTTCTTAGGAGGGATATAAAATGAGGTTGTATGGTGGCTCAGACTGAGCATAGCTCAGAGTTCAGGAGTCTGTGGGAAGAAAATAAACTTAAGTGAATTTTGATTAAGAATATTTTATGTTGATCACTGAAGACAAATTCAGCTGCTTTTTTAATGAGAAAAAGAAGAAAATATGCGAGTGTTTTCCTGGCTGTGTATTAGGTAAGTAAAGAGAGCACCATCTAAGTCATAATGGGAAGGGTGAGTCTTTTCATAAAGTGTTCCTGGAGAACACAGAGGATAGAGAATTTTATTAATCACAGCTGTTTATTGTCTATGTGCTTCATCTTTTCCCACCTCTTTTCTTGGTTCTATACTTCCATTTGGCTTTTTGGGAGTTGTATATTTTATTTGAAACCAGTAAATATAACTACAGTGTTCTGCTGAGTTCTGTGAGTAACTCTATCGGGTTACTGAATTTCAAAAAGGTTATGGGAGTCCCCAACTTTTAAACAGTAGGTCAGAAGCATAGATGAGCCCATGGAGTTTGTGACTGGCATCTGCAGTGAGGACAGTGTTGTGGGACTGAGCCCTGAATCAGGGTCTATGCTGACTCTGGGTGGTGTCAGAATTCAAGTGTTAGACAATGAGTTGATGTTGGAGAATTGTTGGTGTTCATCAAACTCTGCAGATTTGGTGCCAGAAGAAAAATAGCACAGACTTCTGGCCTGGAATGAAACTCTAGGTGTCTGGGAATGGGAGGCTCT